TAGGAATTTGATTTTGAAGATCATCTTTCCATATTTGGTGCTACAACCTACTCAATCAAAAATAAATAAATAAATAACACTGATTTCAAATTCAGTAATTTACGTAATGATGTTGTAATCGTTTCTATTTTGTTACATAAGTTTCTGTGGTCATTTGTTTATCTGACAGGGTCATTTGAGGAAGATGCAGAGAACATACCAGCAGAAAATCCAGAAGAAAGAGATGAAGCTTCAGGAACTGAGAGAGACTGTGGAGTCTCATAAGGTGAGTTTGCAGGAGAACAACTGCTGGCTGTTTGAGACTCTCTTCCTCTGCTGAAGAACTTTCTCACTGATTGTGATTTGTGTCCTAACAGCGATCTGCACAGGCGGCAGTGGAGGACAGTGAGAAGATCTTCTCTGATCTCATTCGCTCCATTGAGAGAAGCCGCTCTGAGGTGACACAGCTGATCAGAGCTCAGGAAAGAGCTTCAGTGAGTCGAGCTGAAGAACGACCGGAGCGGCTGAAGCAGGAGATCATGGATCTGAGGACGAATAAGACTGAACTGGAGCAGCTTTCAGACACAGATGATCACGTCCATTTGCTTCAGGTAACAGAATTGGATTTGGGTCATGACATTCATTCTTATTATGAATTATGTTGTTATATAGAAAAAAAAGATCTGTGCTCTATAGGTAGGGGTGGGCGATATGGCAAAAATATCATATCACAATTTTTTTCAGGAAGATCAAGATTCACAATTTTATCACGATTCTTTGTCATGTTGGTTTTACTATTTTGCAAGTTGTCTGAGCATTACAGCCAAACTAATTTCCCTATTTTAAAAAGGAAGCCTTACAAGGTAACAAAATATAAAAGAATGGCAGATATTTAGGCCAAAGTGGGCGAAGATAAAAATCTTTGTCATTATTTTATCTTTGTTATTAAAAAATAAAAACAAAAATGCACATTACAAATACACATAATATACAAATAAAACAACCAGTGCTTTTTTTTCAGCTACAGCAGGTGTATTTAGCAGTAGCATTCAAGAAACTGAATGAACAAATATAAAAATAAAACACTATATACACTTCACTGTATAAATTATACATTGATTCTTATTAAAGCAACTCTATTAAAGTTCTTCAGTCAAGAGCAGTGAGTGATTTTAGATTTTTTGTTTTGATGTTTATTAACATTTAAAGGGAAAGTTCACCCAAAAAAAGGAACATTCTCTCATCATTTACTCACTCTCAAGTTGTTTAAAACATAAATTAGTTTCTTTCTTCTGTTGAACATAACATTTATTATGAAGAATGTGGGTAACCAAACAGTTGCTGGTCCGCAGTGACTTCCATAGCATTTGTTTCCCACTATCAAAGTCAATGGGGACCAGCAACTGTTTGGTTACCCACATTCTTCATAATATCTTTGTTTGTGTTCAGCACAAGAAAGAAATTAATACAGGTTTGGGACAACATGAGAGTGAGTAAATAACGACAGAATTTTCATTTTTGGGTGAACTATCCCTTTAATGACAGGTGGCAGCATGTTTAGTAGCCTACTATTAGTCTGCTGTCACTTTAAGAGCTGCACGCATCTGCTATAAAGGCACGCATTCGTTTTTCTCTCAACTGTATACTTTCACTTTAGACGTAACCAGCTGTGTTTATAAACCTTGTGTGTTTTGGACAGTATTAGTGCAATCAGACGCAAAAGGTAACTTGGTTATCTTTTTGGTGTGTACGCGCTCAGAAAAAGCGCAAGTCAGAAGAGCATGTGAATGAAACGTTTAACTGGCAAGGCTTTAAAGCACATGCAAATAATGCACTTCTGTGATTGCGAATAAGTGCAGTGTCCCGTGAGTGTAACAGTTGAGTTGTTGTGAATGTATGTGGCATTGGACAGTATATCGAGACCATAAGCAGATGCAGATCGTGGAGACATTTTAATCGTCCACGATCAAAAATTGTGATATCGCACCCCCTTAGCTCTAGGGAATTGTCCTTTTTGGGTGAAGTATTTCTGTTTCATCTGTTGTTTGTCTTTTTGTCTGTGTAGAGTTTCCAGTCCCTCTCTGTCTCTGGATCTTCAAAATCACCCAGAATCATCATCAGTTCTGTCCTCTCTTTTGATGATGTTAGTAAATCTGTCTCAGAGACCAACTAAATCATTACTGCAGAGAGGCCATAGAAAACATATCTGGTACAGGTAAATTATAAGACATTCATCTATTTATTGATGTTCATTCAGCATGAATGGTTTAGAACAGGGGTGTCAAACTCAATTCCTGGAGGGCCGGAGCCCGGCAGAGTTTAGATTCAACCCTAATTAAACACACCTGATCCAACTAATCAAGTCCTTCAGGCTTATTTGAAAACTACATGGTATGTGTTGGAGCAGGGTTGGAACAAAACTCTGCTGGGCTCCGGCCCTTCAGGAATTATGCTTGACACCACTGATTCAGAATATATTTTTCTCTCAACATGAGAATTAAACATCAGAGACCTTGTGGTTTTCCTAGTGAAACACGTTCAGATCATTCTCGGCCCTGATTTTGAGACCAGAGAGGAATACTTGAGATGTAAGTTTAACCATTGAAATCCAAATAGAAATTTCTGAAACCCTTTGATCTTAAGGTATACCTAATAAAAATGATCTGCTTCTATTCTTTTTAGATTTCCATCAGTTCACTATGGATTCAAACACGACTAATAAAAACCTCAGTCTGTCTGATGGGAACAGGACGGTTACTAGCACTCTTACAGGCCTGCTGTATCCTGATCATCCGGACAGATTTGATTCTGTAGTTCAGGTGTTGTGTAGAGAGAGCGTGTCTGGACGCTGTTACTGGGAGGTCGACTGTGGTCAGAGTGCATGTTTGGGTGTATCGTTGTCTTATAAGAGCATCAGCAGGAAGGGACGCGACAATGAGTGTAAGTTTGGACATAATAATCAGTCCTGGAAATTGCTGTGCTCTTCCCCCAAATACATATTCCTGCACAATAATGCAAAGTCATCGTAGCGTCCAGCTCCTCTAGAATAGGAGTGTATGTGGATCACGGTGCAGGAATTCTGTCCTTCTACAGCGTCTCTGACACAATGACCCTCATTCATAAAGTCCAGTCTACATTCACTCAACCGCACTATCCAGGGTTTTCACTGGGCAGCAATGCAACAGTAAAACTATGTAATGTCACTACATAAATTACACAGATATCCTATCAATAACACTGACATATGTGCCATTCGAAATCAGTAATTGTGAGATGGGTCGGTTTTAAAGTCAAAAGTGAATATTACAACTATTATAACTTAAATAATTGTTGTAGTTTGAATCCAAACGAATAATTAATTCAGAAAAAGTGTAATTTTACCCAAATTATAAATAATTTTGTTTCATTTTAAAATTCAGTCTTCTGTTGATATTTGATGTAAATCTTATTTATGTTCTCTCCCATAACTGTCAGCTTCTTGCAGGGTTGATTTTTATGTTTAGAATGTCATCATTTATTCACTGGTGTGCTTTGGGTTTAATCAATTTGTATTCGGCACAGTCCTTTCTGTATCTTAAAACAGGTACTGTGATGATTAAATGTTTGAATGAGTTTATGCAGGAGCAACAACAACAAAAAAAGTATATTAAAATAATATAATAAACATTTTATAATATGGCACAAGCAGCAAATTGATCAAATTGAAGGCCGTAGTAAAGCATAAACACTTAAAAATAAGAAGTATTTCGGGGTGTTATATCTTGGGATATAATATCTCCTCCTGGATATTCTTGGTATTTTGGATACACAATAAACACTGTATTTGGCAAGTGTAAAATCTTGTGGCTTCACTGGCGCCCTGTCACAATAAGAAAAGACTAAAAACATTATTTAACCCTTTAACTGTCACCCATCCCCTCTGTGGGACGCCCAAGTTTACTTCCCTATATTACAATGAAATCCTAATCTAATCATGACAAACCATATATCGTTGGAAAGGTCTAAGACTCCTAAATAGATATTTTACCAATGTTTTTGTAAAAACTTATGTAGGAAAAGTAATAGATTAATTTATGACAAGAGTGCACCTCAAAAATCTACATCATAACAGGAGTTCTGACCTTTGTCAAAAAAGTCGTCTTCGTTGCCTTTTTCTCTATCACACTTTAGAAATTATATATCAATTGAAAACTTTAAATCTCAAAATTCAACCTTTTGAAACCCATTTTAAAATCGAACATTGCATTACCATGAAAATGGTACAAAATGTTTTCGTTCATGAATTATAAAAATTTAAGTTTGGATCATGCACTTTCACGTCTATGTTCAAAAATGTGAGTGATAGTTAAAGGGTTAACACATATTATCGTATCGGCAAACACCAATATCCATCGACCTCTAAATCGTATGTAGGCTATTTATATACTACTATTTATATATTAGTGCATATTGTTACATCCAATTTCAGTACGCATTCTAAACTTGCAGTTACCCTTAGCATTTTATTTTATTTGTGGAGGGCTTACAAAAGACTTAGTCTTCAATTTGACTTTAAAAATTCTGCAGATATCATGTTGAAATTTTGACATTACCATTGTGACCACTATGTGGCGCAGTTGCACAATTTTTCTAGCCGTTCCTCATTTAACTGAATTTTTGTAGAATGTTTTCATGGACAGCATGAACACATAAGTAACAAATATCACAATTACTGCAGCAATAACTGACGCTGGCGGAAAACAACTTGTGTTTAAACATTTTAAAATCACTAGAATTTTAGTAGATCAGAAAACCAGAATATTTTACTGAATGTAAAGCTTGTTTACCTACAAAACAAAGAAAAGTGAAATAGATCTCAATTCAATTTTATGTAAAACTTTGTTAAAGCCCCATGATTTATTTATTTTATGTGAAGGACTGTATTTTTTTATTATTATTTTTTTTTTATTAAATAGCAGCAGATGGTCTTGCTCATAATAAAATAATAGGGTTTACAATCAATTTATATAAGTGTTAAATTCAGTTTAAGCACATGACTTAATTTGGACAGCACAGAAATTCCACAGAAAATCTAAAAAGCAATCAGGCTTTAATTTTGTCGAAATTAGACAATAATGTGCAGGTCATGACAGACAATAACGCTCAATACTGGACTCGCACTGACCTAGTGCATGTAAGAACTTAAAGCTGTAGCATTGCAGATGACATTCTCATGATGCATCTGCCAGCAGACGGTCCTGAATAAACATGCCGAAAGTTCACTACCTCGCGGGCATTGGCTGTATTTCAATATGAATAGATGATCCGATCTGTTCTGGTGCAGTTATGAGAAATAACATGCATGGATGTGCAGCTTGATTTACAAAGATCAGGTCAAAATGCAGGAACTCCTCCCAGAACCAAAAACAAAAGGCTTTTTAAACATTCCTCAGAAGCACTGTGACTCCAGTCACATGAGAAGCGTTAATGTAAATGTAATACAGAGTACTGTACCTTTTAAAACTAAAATTAAACCAACAGTCATATTAAAGTTTAGCTGGTTTTCTGGGAACTGTGGTTGAATTCTGCAGAGTTTTTAATCTCTATTAATTCAATCTTCTGCTCCTTTCTCGTCACAGACACCCGCAGCCTTTTCCGACTCGCTCTTCTTCTGTTTTTTTCCACGCAGCTGGTCACCAGGAAAAATCCGGATTAATGATCATTTGATTAGCTTGGTTCAGACGGCTTGTTTAGCTCCACCTTCTCTCCTTTTTCACCGGCACCTTTCCAAAAAGACAACCACAAGAAGGAAAGAAAACTAACATTACCCTCAGAATTTTTAACTTGCACAAAGCATGTGTTTGTTTGGTTTTAAGAAACAAAACTAAAACACTACAGGAATAGTTCAGCCAAAAATAAACATTTGCTGATCATTTACTCACCCTCAGGCCATCCAAGATTAACACGAGTTTGTTTCTTCATCAGATTTGGAGAAATGTAGCATTGCATCACTTGCTCACCAATGGATCCTCTGCAGTGAATGGGTGCCGTCAGAATGGATCATGGACTCGTATTTTACCCAGAACTAACAGTTTAAAGTTAAAACGCTTTAATGATGGATTTGTTTCTTACAAACACACAGCTTTTCAACTTCTCAAGACATTAACTGATGGACTGGAGTGGATTATTGTGATGTTTTTATCAGCTCTCATTCTGACGGCACCCATTCACTGCAGTGCAAGTGATGCAATGCTACATTTCTCCGAATCTGATGAAGAAACAAACTCATCCTAATCTTGGATGGCCTTTGGGGCTTTTATATTGAAATAAGACTGCTCAAACCCTTCTTTTGTGTTCCACAGAAAATAATAATGACAATATTTAGTTTTGAGGTGAACTATCCCACTGATCTTACCTGTTAGGTACTTTTCTTTAGCTCTCGCCCGCTCATCAGCATCAAAATACCACACAGTAATGGCATATCTGCACAGTGAGAAAGACCAAGTTAATGAGTTATAAAACAGGACTAGACCAAGAACATGTGGTGAAAATTCATTGTATGTGTAGAGTGTGTTTGTCGTGTGCTTTAGCGATGATGATGATGACCTTGTATCATACGCAGGCTGGACCTCATGAGGGTTTCGTCTATCAGACCAGAATAAAACCAAGCGGTCAAATTTGGGTTCGATGTCCGCAAACTGAGCTTTACCCTCTGGAAATATCCGCAATACACCCCCATTTTCCTGAAAACACAAATAACAGAGAACTCAATTATGAGATCAGGTTTATCATTAAACAAATCATCAAAAATGCTCAATTACTTACAATTCTTAATGTGAAAATACCCAAACAATGAGTGTGATAACATGCATAGGTTTTACATGTAAAATACAGAAAATAATTAGTTTGAAAATAATCGGTTCGTAAAAATAAGCAAAAATTGTATTTACAGTAGAGGACTTGCAATGGAAATATGTTGTGTTCCAGTCGATTTGACCCAGAGATGATTTCTTTTTCCCGAAAATGCTAGTGAATGTTATTGCATTTGACTAAAACTTAATGACAAATTTTGTACATTGTCAAATTTTACATAAAACTTTGGTAACACTTTAGAATAGGAACACATATTCATTATTAACATAAGAGAGTTTTACCTGAACAAACTCCTAATCTGCTGCTTATTAATAGTTAGTAAGATAGTTGTTAAGTTTAGGTTTGGTGTAGGATTAAGCGATCTAAAATATGCTCATACAAAATAAGGCAGTGCTTTATAAGTACTAATAAACAGCCAATATGCTAGTAGTAATATGCATGCTAATAAGCAACTAGGTAATAGTGAGAACTGGTCCTTAAAATAAAGTGCTACCAAATTTTATGCACTTCAACAAAAATGCAAGCTGCACATTCTTGCATCTAAACGCTCTTAAATGTTTTGCCTATAGACTTTTGTTGTGAATGCATTACTGTAAATGCAATTTTATTTTTATTTTTTCCATGCAACTTGGTCTCTAATGCTGGTTTCAGTCATATTAAACTAACGTGATATAACGTGACTACTGACAATACAGTCGACTCAGCAGTGCATGACTGGAGCTTTTTTAGTTATAATGATAAATTCCATTAGCAGAAATAACAGAGCGACACAAACAATGAGAGGCCAGGTCTGGAGGAGGTTAGGATAGGAAACGGCAGCGGAGCGCGGCCTTCCTGAAATAGAAGAGGGACGAGAGGAAAAGGCCACATGCTGGATAAAGAGACGTCAGCGAGGGCAGGGAAGCAGACTGCTGAGGGTGCGAGAATTAATCTTTCACACGTACGGTCCGTGGAGCATGCACGGCACGTTTCTCTCCGTGGAGCTGAACGCACACGCTTTATACAGGTACACAGTGAATGCTCACGTATGCACGTGCACTCGAGCACAGAAGCGTAGAAGCATCAGGAAAATACACTTTAAAATGCTGTGAAGTGCAGATGTTGTATTTTTCCCCCCACGGTGCTTTAAAAAAGTTAGTTATCCTAATATGCACACAACACCATCATAATAATCATTATGATTCAACATATCTTGTATCTGACAACAGGCAAAACTTTTTTTTTTGAGACAGTGTTATTTTAGAATTCACTGAGATACTATTATAGTTTTTATTAATATTTTGAATTCATTTTAATATTTTCTGTTTTAACTTATTTTAGTTAAAGTTTTTGTCATTTTGGAGCTGTTTTGTAATTTTTTATTAATAAATATCTAGAAAGTTTTAAATTTGTCTACATTTTTTAGTTATTTTAGTACATCAAGTTAAACAATAAAAATGCTGAAATATAAAAAGTTTAATTTTTTTATATTTAAAGTTTAAATGTGTTTTTAAATTTATTAGTTTATATCGTTTTATATTTATATTTTAAGGTAACATTTTTAAGTTTGAAATGTTATTTCAAGTAACAAAAATTATTTATGGTTTTCATTTTAGACGACTATAATAATTCTGATTTGAGAACACAGACGACGTGTGACTGAATATATCGTTTTTCTTTTTTAAATTGTATAAACACTTGCCATTTTGATCATGTTTCCAATATGGCATGATTCAGAAATATCACAAAATAATTATTTTCACATAAAATATTACAAAACTCTTAATGGGATAGTGTTTATGTGTGCATGTTTGTGTAGAAGGTATTTATTTACTATAATAAAAATGAGCAATACATAACGTAATGCAATTTTTTTTAATGCAATTTTTGCAAGAAATATACAATCATAACAGCATATGAAAGTTACAGTATTTAGACTGCAAAATCGACAAACTGTGTAAAAGTAAATAATAAAATTAAATTCTTAAATTAAATAATTAAATAAAATATTTGCATAGTAATTGCAATGTCAATTTTATTATTATTATTAATCCACTTAAATTAAAATATGGTGGTTGAAAACCAACAAGTACAGATTATTTAAAAAATATTATTAACGTGTTAAATTACATATTCCGAAAAGAACACGGATGCAGATACCTGCGATCCTGAAGGGCGACGAGAGCACCGGAGCGGTCGTGCTTCACGCGGTGGCTAACGACACCAAGCTGCGGCAGACGGAGACGCTGAAGAGGGACTTCAGGAGCCTGATCGAGACGGTGCGCCGCACATCGCCAGCGACGACGATCATCGTGTCAGGACCGCTTCCCACATATTGACGAGTTCACGAAAGATTCAGTAGACTTTTTGCTTTAAATGAATGGTTATTGTCATGGTGTAAAGAACAGAAATTGCTCTTTGTTAATAACTGGAATCTTTTCTGGGAGCGTCCTAGGCTTTTTCGCGCTGATGGCCTGCACCCCAGCAGAGTTGGAGCAGAGCTCATGTCGGACAACATCTCCAGGACGCTGCGCTCCATGTGACTAGTAAGTCAAATCTCAAATAACTGCCCTGATGACTTGTGTTCTACCCGCTTAAATGATAGAAGTACTTGCGCTGCACAATCTATAAAGACTGTGTCTGTTCCCCGAATAGTGAGGTCAAAATATAAATTTAATGCAGGATCTAGAAAAAATTAACTTAAATGATTTTAGCAAATGGCTGCAATATAACAAAGAGTGAAAAATGTAAGGGGGTCTGAATACTTTCCGTACCCACTGTATATATAAAATCGTTTTTTTTATTCTAGAAATTCTAATTTACGTCAGTAAAAATACTACCACAATTTAAAAAGTCAAATAAATACATAAATGAATCTTCATAATTGTAATGAGTTTAATGACTTTTAAATTATTAAAAATGCACTTTTCATGTTTTTAGTTATTATTTGGGTGAATACCAAAAAAAAAAAAGCTCTAAAATTAGAAGTACATGTTTTGCTTTACAAA